TGTGTGTGTGTGTGTGTGTGTGTGTGTGTGTGTGTGTGTGTGTGTGTGTGTGTGTGTGTGTGTGTGGAGCCATGCATACACCTTGGTGTGTCTGGCAGAGAAAGAGCAGAAAGAAATCAGGAGCTGTAACTGACAGAACTTAATGTAAAACGTACACACACACGCACACACACACACACACACACACACACACACAGGTTTATAGCTCCGCCAGCCATATCCTGACAAATTACACTGGGCCGACTGTGGAAACCGGATAAGGTAGAGCAGTGGTCCCAGCAGCCTAGTGAATCAGCAGGGAGAATGGCGTCTGGCCCAGGCTGCCCTAAATATAACTCATCTGAAATGGACTGATAAACACTGGGCACAGGGGCCCCTGCTGGATCAGGGGGTGTCGATTGTGACCCACTGAACTTGTAAAAGCACAATCTGCCATTTAGCCTTTATGTGTGTGTTTTTATGTGTATACTGGTGGGGTTTAGCATATCTCTCTGTTCATCCCATTGCACTCTTTCCCTTCACCAGGTCCTCTCTGACATATCTGTGCATTGTGACAACCGGTTTGTGGTTAATGTCATTTATATTATGTTTGCCCAGTTATAATGCTAAGCAATAAGTGGAGCTACATTATGACCTGGAAATACAAGCTGTATAACCCTCATCAAAAAGCAGCAGGTATTTTCCAAACTTTGAAATAAACCAAGATGTTTAAAAAACCTTGAAATGCCTCTTGAGTTTAACTAAGATTCAAGTCTTGGAGACATGGTTGAGAGTCATAATGTTTCTCATCATTTCATTGTTCAAGAATGGTATGCAATGCGTCAGACTGAATCAGTCATTTCATGCTTCAGTATTAGTATTAGTATTATTCAGTATTGTATCATGGAAATACAATTGGGTAACATTTTAGTTTACAGGTCTGTCATTTCTTGGTCATTTGTTGAGGGGGTTCATGGAAATATGTATGTAAAATGTAGTACTAAATATTATTTATAAGAAGAATCTCATTCATTTGTTTCTGGCAACTTTATTCTTCATATCTGTTGAATTGTATGCTTCCTTGTAGGCACATAACTTTTGCACATTAAGCTGACCTGCTGTCCACTTAAAGAAGCACTACGTAACTCAGCAATTTCCCTTTAAGTTTTACCAAATGATATAGTTCTTTCCATGAAACTAATTGGAATTTATTCTGAAATTACCAACCTGTATCATATCCCATTTTACCCAAGCCAAGGTCATATTGATGATCTAAAAGTGTTCATAGCATTTTCAGAGTAAAAACCTGTAACTGAGTGAAGCATTCAACAAATGAAGGCTCATTCATGTTATTCTGAAACACAGGGTTGCACAACACAATGCAGTTGTAGCTCAGTGCACTTATGTTCCATCAGAAAAACATGCCAAAGCAAAAGAGAACAAAAACAGTAGTGCATTCCTGTAGTGCATTTTTTCAAATGTCTTCAGAACCAGTGTAAACCTCATCTACATTACAATGGTGAATTCCACTGCACACTTGAGCAACTTACTTAGTCTTTTCAATACTAATGTGTTTCTGTGTAAGTTAATCCGTCAACATATATGTCTTTGTTTGTGCATGTGTTGTTTACATTTTTCCGATGTGAGTTTAGCGTTGTTGACTTAACCTCGTCAGGTGCAGAGAAACCTAACCCTGATCCTCCTAATCACCCGTGTGTCTGCCTCATAAAGGAACACCCTGAAAGACCCCTAGACAGACACAGCTTTCTACTGCTTATTTAACCCTTTCATTCACACAGCTTCCTGTTTCAAGATCTAATCACAGTGTCACAATAGATCATTCTACTATGTTTAACCCTACCAAATGTATAACTTCATCATTCACAACATACAGTACATTGGAGGTAGTCAACATGTCAGTATGGACACTGAGGTACATATTTCCAAACAGTCACCGATGAATAGCTGAGACCTTTATAAACCCATGAGGACAGTCCTTTAAAGCAACAAATGACTTAAATCACTATAACTAATACATTACATGTTAGACGCTTTTATCCAAAGCGACTTACATAATCAATACTGTGGGCAATCCCCACAGGAGCAATTTGGGGTGAAGTGTCTTGCCCAGGGACACAACGACATGCTGACTGCAGTGGGGTTTGAACCTGTGCTCCCCTGATCCCAACACCAACGCACTCTTCCACTGCGCCACAAGCCTCCTGTAATACTGAATATTTCCCTAAATTAAATTAAACTCTTAACACTATCAAAGTGTTTCCATTGTGTGATGACAACATGTTATTAGTGAAGTGACATAGTTAGAACTTAGTGCCAAGCAGAAGTGCCATGGAATCAATAACACATCGATTTGCTGTCACGCTCTGCATGGTCTCTTACAAGCGTGAATGTCAATAGCGCACTATGCAACAAGTGTAATCTCCAGTGAAGAGGCTTTTTTTGTTCCGAGGAACAGTTACAATATGAAAGGCAAATGCTAACACTTGCGTTTTGACCCTTAAACGGTTAACTGAAGGCTGGGGCTTAAAATGATAATCCGCTGATGACACTACGATTCCACCCTGGATAAAACTAACTGGGTGTGGGTCCCACATTGTCAGGATCAGATGAAGAGTTAGTATGTGAGCTTGTGTGCCACACCTGTACCCCTGGAATGCATTTACCTCACGCTCACGTGTGTCTGCACGTGCAGATAGTTACACTGACTGCAGTGAGAGGATGTTGCCACATCTGAACTCGTTGAACCAAGGGTGCTTGAGTGAGTCTCTTTTGAAACTTGGATCAAACTAACAGTGTGGAAGACTATCAGCAGTGAGCATTTGGGGTCAACTTCAAGTCTGCATCAAGTATAGTTTTTGTATGTGCTCATACACAGTTTTCATGGAGCCATTTATTTTACAGTGGCAACTACAATATGATAATAAAAACAGATGTACTGGACAAAAGAACACACACTTACCTGAGGATTTGAAGTGCCTCGTCTGAGTTCTGCAACTCATCAGAGAGCCGTCTCCACCTCAGCAGAGCCTTCAAGTCAGACTGTTCTGCTGTCTCTTGTGAGGGGAGCTGAGGGGTGAGATATGGAACATTTAAAATATGTGTTAATTTAGAGAAAAGACATCAGAGAAGGAAAACCTAAATATGATGATTGTATCAGCAACAAAAAATAACAAAAGCACACACTGTACCTCTGCCACTGTTTCTTATTAATGTTGGCAGTTCTAATTAAATCTATTTCTTCCGAGCTAAACGCACATCATAAAGGTGAAATGGTTAAACAGCAGAGACACAAGAAAAACATTTGTGTAACTCTAGATGGTGTGGGAAAGCAGGTAGGAGGATTAGATCCCGGATCAGAGATGAAGTAAGTGTTGCAAGCAAAAGATTTATACCCATGCTCTGACCTCGCCCTGTTTTTTCCCTTTTTATTTCATAAGTATCCCAAATCGACTTTATTAAGCACTTATTAAAAGGATATCTGAGGCATCATCTTTAATTGTATCTATGATCTGCATTTTTTTGAGGAGTAGATAGCAGTAGTTCTTTTAAAAAAACGTAAATGGTTCAGCTTTCTCCTTTGACGTTAGTCGGAACAAAGTTTGAGTTTGATGGTTTATTTCGTAGTTGGCCCAGGAACTAGTTCACCCTTTTGTTTAGTTTGGCCAACTTCTCTGACCTTGAGTGTGCTTTATTGCATAGAGACTTGGGTTGGTGTCTGAAACTGTTTCCCTGTTTGTCTGGTGGATTGTTTTTACAAGGGTAATGTAATGGCCAACTCTACATAAAGTGTACTCTAACCACAACAGTAACATTGTAAAATCCAAGCACATATGTTGTGGAAATGGGAGATTGAATGTTGCACTTTACCAGTAGTATTAATCTGCTGGATACTATGTTATAATGGTAATTTTAGACAACAAAGAGAAATAAATGAACTACACAACCTAAAAAACTATTTCAATAATCATTAAGATAATGGTTTAATTTCTAATGAGAGTGTTATGCGTTTTAGCTTCTTTGAATTAGCCAAAAGCAAACTGGGCTTCTTCAGCTGGCTTAACTTGTGGATTTGGAAGCTTACTGTATATTGCAAAAAAGTGTTTGTTTTCAGTGAGTGACAGCCTAAAACTGTTATTTTAAAAAGTGGCTGTAGTAAACTACAATGATTGGGCACTGATTGTTCAGTACTTTTTGAGCTTGGGCCCAGATAATGTCCTCCAGGTAGGTGGCAAAGCCCTCGCTGATCCATTCCTCAGTCCAGTCTCGTGCTCCGATAACCAGGCCAAACCAGGAGTGGGCGATCTCATGGCAAATTCTGGACCCACACAGGGACAGGCTCTTCTCTTCAGTACCAGGACTCCCAGCGCACAACACACTCTGGGAAAGGAAAATGATATGGGGGCTGGGGAAGACAAATGACAAAGTACAAGATGAATGAGAGAGATAAAATCAGGAATAAATTATAAAGGGAAGGAAACAATGAGAAATGAGAGAAGGAGTGAAGGGATAAAAAATGGAACAAGTATTAGACGATGGGAGGATATTTTAAAAATTATAATCAAGTATGCTCAGGGAGTAAGAGACAGACAAGAACATAAAGAAGGGACAAAAAGAGATTGCGGTAGTGATACAGTATACCTTGTTCCCTCACAAACAGACCAAAGAGTTACTGAGGTTATGTTACACACCTATGATTACAGAAATGGTTGCCTGAACACGCCATGAACAATAAGACAAACCCAAGTAGTATGGGAGTCACTCACCCCTTCCTTCATCTTCTGACATATTATTAGCAAAGGGCAGCTTACTCATCAAATGTTCTTGCCAAACATAACCGTCCTGTGCAAACATCAAGCAAGAACACCATGTTCCCTGGACTAACAATGAAGGGTAAAATCAAATAAATAAAAATAGCAATTCTGAGAAGTTTTGCCCAAATGTTTTAGATTTAACAAAACAGACAAGGTTGTTTCAATATAGCTTCCACTCCTCCTGTTTCACTTTGTTTCTAAACATGACTTTAAGGGACTGCTGCCAATATTACCTTTAAAAACAAGTTTAACATTTTTTTTTTAAATAAAGGATGATTATAAACCATATATATATCCTAATTTAAGACCTTCTTGGACATGGAAACGAAAAGCATTGAGAACAAAGCTGGATATAGGAGTTCCTGTGCACGGAAAACTCTAAGGGTCTGTAATTATTGACTGTAATTACTGACTGATTTATTGAGCAATCAAGTTAATAGATATTTTCCTCGCTCTTTTCCCACAAGGAAATAAAACATATGGTTATAGTAATGATAACATTTTAGATAAAGTGTACTTGAAGTTTATATGAATAAAGGCAGCAGTGTTTGCATCTGGGCGCTCTTTAAAACCGATAATAAACTATGTGCAACATTTACAAACCAAATACACTAAATAGTCTTTGTGAAAAAAAAAATGGGCTAGTTATGCTTCTATAAAAATATAACATTAACAGTGAGTGTGCATGTGTAACTCAACAATTTAAAAGCCTCAATAATTAAGATAAATAGCAATATAATTGTTAGCAGATTTAAGTTTATAAATACTATTTTATATACATGAGGGTTTCCCATAATGTCTATTTGAGATAAATGATAAAAAAAAAAGGCTTAGTAAAGAAACTTCAACAATTGATTTATGCATGAAGTAAAGTATTTATTATTGTCTTTTGCACATTCTCTCGCTGCAAATGAAAGCTTTTCATAAAGCCAAACCCTACAAAGTGCTACGCATGTAAGCAAGTGGTTTTTTTTTGCAGAAAAAAACTGGAAGGTTATAAGTCTGCAATGCAAGATGTGCAGACTTTGTGCTGTCCTGATATCGGAGCCGATTCCAACATATTTGAGCCGGTAGCAAACAGGTGTTTTTCCTTAGAGGGGTACCTGGGCTACTCGCAGTGAAGGACTAGCAAGGGATTTGCGAGCAATGTCCTTGATGTAGTAAGGGCCTGATCCATTCACAGCACAGTAGACCAGTTCCAATGTCTTGAAGTGGATTAAGGCAGCCACCGTTAGCCAGTAAAGGAAGCGGTGTATTGTGTGAGAACTGAGGTTTAGGTTGCACTTGCAGGTACTGTAGACCAACCAGGAGAGAGCTGCAGAAGTCAAGAGGCTCAACTTTATGTGACTTTTAACCATGTGACAGCGCTGGAGGAACAGGACCATTAGGAGTGCTCTGTCAAAGCCAAGGTCATGCCTGAAGACTTTTCTGGAGCATTCTTTACTTGTCTTATGTAACCCGCTCTGGGCGCCCTGAGGGGCTTAGGGCCAACTGTGCGTGAGAGGCAGGCTGTTCTTCAATAGAAGAATTGGTGAGGGGTCACAGAGGTGCTAATGAATGGTCTCTCTCTCTTTCTCCTGGCCCATTTAACAACACCGGATTCTCTAGGGTTCTTTTCAAACTCTCAAGATCTTAAGTGTCCTCGACGCTATTGACCTGACATTTCTGAGAGAATTTATGGCAAACTGCAGGTCCTGACTGAAAAGTAATCGTCAAGGGTCATACCACCCTACTACTGTGTCAAATATTTTTAAGATGCCCCTGTACTGCAGAAGAAAGGTCTTCATCTATCCATCTCTTTCAGTCAGAAAGAGATGGATAGAAGTGTTTCGGTCGAAAAGTCATAAAGAGGGATTGTACAAACTGCTGAAACACAGAAGCAAGAATAACTTCACCTGTTGGAGTAACATACAACTACAACAGCCATAATAATCCTACATATAGCTGCTATTGATGAATTATAGTAAGCTATTAAAGGAACTGCTCTCGTAAAAGGAAAATATTAGCATCTTAAAACAACAGAGGAGTTCTTTTCATTCCTTGTGATAACCTAATTATGGGGTCAATTATAAAGGAAAACAGTAAGTAAAGACATAGGTTAGGCCAGGCCTGTTAGATAGTCTATTTTGGAGGAAAACTAAATCGGATATCTGAGCAGCACAAACACTCTTTATTTCCCTGAGGATAGTTTTATCAGATAGAAAGCAGGCTATTGCCTACAGTTACTTAGGAGCATGTCAACATTATACAAAAGGGTGTTATGGGCATCATTTCCGAAACAGCATCTCAAAGCTAATCCCATGTTTTTTTTACTGATTACGCAAACAAAAGCTCTCACTGGAGCAGGAGATGCTAACATTAGCCTTGTGAGTTTCTTTGCAGCCTAATCTGATCCCCACACAATTGGATAAGCGCGCCTTTGTTGTCAGTTCAGGCAGTGCGTTATATTCATGCGTCTGTGTGTGAGTGAGAGTGAGTGAGTGTGAAACACAAAGACAGCCTTTCAGAGACGCTGCCTGCACATGCTCCTCTGAGGGATGCGGAATCCATCACTACAGTGACAAATAGTGTCATCCCACCATGGTGGGACGAATAACAACAGCATCTTTCACATTCACGGATACACTAACTGACATTAGTTGACATCAGGGACCTGTCAAGTATACATGGTTGAAAACACTTTCAAACACATTCATGCATATGGAGCACCTGCACATGCACAGCTTTCATCTTCAGTGTAGCTCTGAATCTGCTGTTTGATTAAATGTGTGTCACCAATTACAAATCAACAGTTTCTGTTATATTTTCAACGAAATAATTGAACCTTTATTTGTAAGCATAATACTATTGTGCTTCTAAATGATTTGTTTTGCAAGTATGCAAATGTGGTCAACAAATCAAATGAGTAACTACATCTGCTTATAACCCCCAAAATTACAATCAATCAAGCATTAAGTCTCAAAATGTGCACGTACTCTGTCATCATACAACTTCCGTCCCTCTACGTCTTTGCATCACACCATACACAACATTTTGAGATTTTTCTTGCGCTGCTAACAACCCAAATTGTAAGATGGGTATACTCAATATTGATTGTCTTGTTCTTCCATTTTGTTTGCATTTGTTTCGGGATTTATCTTGAGGGTCAATAGTAATTAAACAACACATTCAGAAGCCTTTGTCAGAAATAACATAAGAGGATATTTAATATATAATTACACAGCAAAAAACTCATTTTAAGTTTGTAGACTCTAAAGGAAGTTGCCATCCACTTCCAATAGTTCCCCTTTACTTCCATTACAGATTTCTCCGCAAATCATGATGATCAAGTATTTATAACAAAAAGGTCTATTCAAAGACATGTTACATTTGAAATATATCAAGGATAACTATGAGATGTGATAAAGACCCCAATCAGGGTTACTAATCGTTGTATGATGATTGCACATTACTTGATGTTAAATCATGGCTTGTACGATTCAAATCTGTCTGCATTGAATTCAAATTAGTTGGTCCTGTATCACATCTGTTTTGATGTTTCTAATCGCTGTTTGTTTTTAATTGGCCGCTACAGTAGTTGTACAAATAATTACCCTTCCTGTTTCATAAAGATGTACTCTCTACTTTTCTCTGCTTAGTTATGTTCTTCTGAATAATACATAAAATAAATTGAGCTACAGTTCTTGAGATGTAATTGGATGACAAACATACATCTTTGTCTCAACTGTTAATTACATTTCTTCTTCTTGATTGCTTTCACGTTTTAAGTTGTAAGGCTTGGAGAAAACAATGCAACAACATGCTTTTTAAATAAATGCACCAACGCTCACACTCGTACACTTGCAGACGAAGATTTAAATATCTAAAGGCTTTCAAACAATGCTATGAAATCATATCCAGAAGATGATTACCAAACTGATTACGATGAAATGATGCCTGCATATAGAAAAACAGGCAAAGACCTTGGGTGACCTTCCTGATGGAGGTGCCCCATTGGGTCGACAACCTCCCAATTCTGAGTCACCAAGGGTGACTTGGCCCCGAGCTTCAGAGGTGTGAAACAGGGCAAGTCGGAGAAACAGATTGCAATAGCATTTCACTCCTCCATCTCTCCATCCATTATTCATCCCTCCATCCATCGTTCCCGGCTGTAGGCCATTTTTTCCCCAGCGGGACACTGCCATGCATAATGCAGCAGGGCCCTATCATAGTCCTGTAATTGACATCCCTAGCCCATCTAAGCTCCTAGCTGGGACACGAGTAAAACAGCCCCACGAGACCGGGGACGAGAACAAGATGATGAGAGATGAGTGTGCAGTGTAGGTGTAAATGAGAGCGTGTGAATACGAAATACAAAAAAAACACAAAGACAAATATTTTCCAATAACATGACAAGAGAGAGAAGAGGGAATTTAGAAAGAGAATTTAAGATATCCGATATAGGCAGAGAGTAAAAAGAAAGAGAACAGAAAGAGAGAGAGGGAGGGAGAATACTAGTCTGCGTTTTTCTCTTTCCCAAAGTGCAACGTCAAATCCCTGGTGTGATAACAGTTGAACTGCAGAACCAGTGCTGGTAAAGTTACACATATTG